GAAACAGAAGTCTAACGTTGTTGTTGTTAAGCCGTTCTCCAAAGCTCTCGATCGGCACGAAGACCTTGAGGGCAAAACAATGAACACTACTAGGAACTCCATAGATCTGGATGGATCAATAATGCTGTTTGTCAAAGCAACAATGAATGCTAGTTAGCTACTGTAGGTAACGTTGGTTGCAAACACATCACATCTTGCAAGCGTGAAACCGTGTGTTGCATTTTTTCACATTTAATTCTGTTATTTAAGGATTCAATGTCTTTTGGAACAGTGGAAATACTAACCAAGACTGGTTTGATGGTTTGAATTGTATTTCGGTGGAAGGAAGTGTGTTAACGATGATCAGTGAGGTTCAAGGACTGTTTCACTGTTGAAGAAGCTTGTCAGTTCTTCATTGGCGTTCCCCTAGAGACTTGTCGTGACCTAAGAAACAATGGATATATACTCAACTCTAATAATTACATAAATGTCATTTCATTTTACAAGGATTTACTGTACACATGCAGCATCTTTTAGTAAGCATCCACATCTGATTCAAAGATATCAACTCATTTCACAGCTGGCCTTTCCTTCTGAACCAATCCTTTTAGGGGAAACACTCATTACTGTACACACCAAAGGGAGCTATGCAGGAATGTTTTTACAATTTCTGGAGCTGAAGGTGGAATCTAAGAAGTACTCCTGCAAAGCAAACAACATTATTTATTTGAGTCGTGAAAGGGCACTGACACGCAGATAGTGGATAAAACGCAGCCTCCAGTGCTCCTGTCTCTTTCTTTCATTACCTGTGTCCTTTTTTCTCTGTCATAGTTATGACCAGTGCAGACGAACTGAAAGGAATGGTGTTTTTTTCTTTCCTGCTCTCCCTCACTCTTACACATACACACACACACACACACACACACACACACACACACACACACACACACACACACACACACACACACACACACACACACACACACACACAACGTACTCCTTCTTCTTCAAAAGCCTTTGGTGCTGACAGGGTGTTGACCCTGTCTCATGGTTGGACATGGGATCTTGGGTACATCCTAATTGGGCTGTGTTTGGATATGCAGCGTATCTCAAGGTCAGGAATAGGAGCAGCATATAGCTAAACCTCTCTTTCAAAGGCAAGATAGGGAAGCAGAAATATTGACCTCAGACCTCCTTATTGTGGCTGTACGAAAAGGCAGAGTTTACATAGCTGCATACTGAATGCGGTAAAGACTGTGCGGTTTGTTGCCGGTCCAAGGCTTTTTTTATGGCGCTGCAGCCGGAGTTATGTCACGGCTCAAAGCAAAGAATTAATTTGGCTCTTTGGAGGCCTCCTCTGCTTCCCTTGATAGCTTCTCAAAACGAGGACAGCTGGTGAAGAAGGTCACAGAGTGCTGTATTTTAAGAAAGGCAGAAGTGTGTGTGGGTGTGGGTTGGCATGTATATGTGCATGTGTGTATGTGTGTGCAGATGACAGGTCTTCAGATATAAGGGACATATTGAAAAGATGGCTGGATAACTGCTGCTGGTTGGTGTCCAAACTGAAACTGGACCACACACACACACACACACACACACACACACACACACACACACACACACACACACACACACACACACACACACACACACACACACTTTGTTTGCCTTAGGTGTCTTCCAGTTTCAAAATGACAATTTCTTTTCAACCAGTTGAGTTTTAAAGCCTCACAGTTGACCTCTTTACAACTTGTACAGACGTTTTTGATCTCCCACACAAGCAATCAAACATCAGAAGTAATGGTATGTGTCCACAGGATCATTCATTTCCACCCTCCCAGTCTTTGCATACTGTATGTAGGCAACTTCTGGTAGCACCACGCTGCGTTTAAAGAGACGCGGTGTCACTTTGGCCACTCCTCAATAAGTCTAGGCTACTTGATGCCAAGTAGGGATGTCCAGTGTAACCCGCCACGTCTCCAATCTCCCCAAAAACAATCACCAAAAACTGATTTTCATTATATAATCTCAAAAGTTTTGAAATCCTCCAGCAGGAAGTGCCTCATTGCACGCCAATCAAGTGTCTAATAATGGAAAGCGGCTCAACCCCTCACATCTAAAAATTCCCCTGTGGACACCTTTCATAATTAATCATCTTCTTGCTGCCAAACTCATAAGAGTTCAGATGGTATTTACCGATCAAAAAGCCATAGATTGGGGGAAGCTCTTGAAAGATTGTGGCTCTATCTATCTGTTCTATAATCCTCCATGTTTGTATCACTCCTTGGGATTTTTCAAGCTGTCCCTTCATCATCCAGCCCCCCGACTCTAACAGACGGCCGTTGGTGTTCGCCTCTGACCTGTTGATCACACGCACAACACGCACAGACATGCCCGCAGATTGACACACGCACACGTCTGTCAGAGAACTGCATCTCTGCTCCCACCTCCTTCACATGTTCCCGGGTGTCGTCAGATGGGAGAAAGATGACAGCTTTAATCAGAGGGTGTTAGGGCCTCAGCAGGCAGGGTAAAGGCAAGCTGCACATGTACGCTGCACACACACACACGTACGCTGCACACACACATGTACGCTGCACACGGTGTACATCTAACTCCTCAGGCTACTGTCAGCTATAGAAACCATCCAACTATTCAATTATTCAGCTTTTTCAGGACATTGAGGGCTTTTTTGTTTATCCCTTTTAAACTTTTCTTTTAAATATTAAGCCTCAACACTATTTGTCCTACTCTGCCAGCTTTACATTTCACTTTCAAGGTTTCAATCCAATGTTATATGTGTCAAATTGGATTGAGATACGCTTTCTGCAAGGGGAAAATGTATTAAAAGAAGAACACTTGGAAACACTCTGTAAAGCTGAGGTATTAAAGGACTGTATACCGGTTATTTTTCAAGCATATTACTAGAGGCTAAGTATGATACGATAACAACTCCTTCCCAATATCTTTGTCGTGTTTTTTTTTCATTACATTTATTATTTATTTAACGAGATGTGCCCAACTGCTCATTTCAACATCATCAAAAACATAGCTTTGTCTTTTGTTCGGTGTTAATTTGTGGTAGAGGTCATAGTCATACAATAAAAACACTCAGAATTTAATATTAATCCCATCCTAGCAATGCATCAAAGTGTTGTGAAGGCAAGACCTTTGTACCAATCAGGTTCTCTCATCTTGCTCTGCAGTACTCGTAAATGAAAAGGATGTACCATCTCAAAATCTGGAGTGGGGAGGGCAGAACATTAGAAAGTATAGAGAGCAGGATGGCGCTCGTTGACCTTCATTCTTCCTCTTCTCGGCTCATCGAATTTGATATTCTTTTGTGAATAGGTCTTGAGCCCTTCAGGGCTTCTCTATGCAAGCTTTGAATTTCATGGCCGCTGTATTGATTGGAGGATAGATTTAGATGAGTTCATCAAAAATAATTCAGCTTTCTCTATCTGAAGTTGTTGCAGAAGTGCGTATCAATAGATGCAGCCTTGGCTTTTTCCTCTGTAAGTCAGCGATGCATTTTCTATTAAGATTGTTACGTGTTTACTTTTGTTTGAAGTTTGGTGTGAGTCTGAAATCTATTCGTTGAACAAAGACCCCTCAGACATAAAATGGATCCAAAATAAATCCTATCAGAACTCGCAGGTATTTTCGATCTCTCATAACGCTGACTGTATTGAGCTCCGAGACTCTGACACCATTCATCTTACCGGCTTTTCTTTTAATTACTGCTCTCCCATGGGAGCCAGCCGGGTAGTTAAACTGAGAAATCAGCATTACAGCAATTATTGGCTCACAATGAAATGAATACAATCTTGTCATCTGTAATCATTTGGGGCCTCTATGCCTGGGAGAAAAATAGCTTCTCTTTTCTAGTTATACGTGATGGGAGGGGGGTCGTGGTACCTGTCGGTTTTATCTACAGTTTATTTGTAGTCTCAGATGTTAGTTATCCAAAAATAAATATTCCTAATCATTGTAAAACAGTCATAGGAAAATATGACAGGCTTTACTCTGCCCTAGCAAAACTAGAATGGTACCAGAAAAACGCCAATGGTGCATTCACATGCTCCTGGGATAGTCCAATGTCCCGAGTAGTTTCTCCGACATTTTCAAGGAATTTCCAAGTTCGGAATACATTTTTCAGACTTTTCTGAAAGCACAAAAGTAGCACGAATGCAATATTTTAAAATCATGATTCACCTATCCACCTGGTTATATGGAATCACTCCAAAATGTATTGGTTCTTCCTTGGTCCATACTAGATCCTTCCACCAGTTCTCATTAAAGTCCGTCCAGTACATTTTCCATTATCCCACTGACAGAGAAACAATGAATCTCCATTTTAAGCAGGTAAAGAATCAGATATTTCCCTCAGGTGGGGGTAGAAACCAAAAATAACTTAAATGAAAGTAAACACTGTGTGAAACATAACTGATAGCAGGATGAAGCAATGCTTAAAGCTATTTCCAAGGATACATTAGGATAATGCACAAATTGTTAAAAAGTGTCAAGAAAAGCGGGGTATTACAATACTTCTAATAGATAGAAAATATGATGTGTTATTTAAAATGTACTTTGTTCACGATGTTCCTGGACTCAACAGGTCCATTTCATGTGGTTGTTACTGAGTGTTTTCGATGACGGATTGTTCACGTTATTCTCTTCTGAGAACTGCTTGTTGATTCAAATAAATAAATTAAGCAGTACAAATCTATAAACATGATGTACTCTGAAGAAGTGACCATGCTTCGTGAACAATCAGAGCTGGGGAACTTTGGCAGTACTGTAGCTTTTTAAACGGGTGAAAGAATAACTTGTACATTTTTCAAAACCTCCGCAGGGATTTGATGTTCTAAAACGTTAATTGTGTGAAAATATTGGCAGAATGTGTTCTGTTTTCTGTCTTTGTGAACATCTTCAAATACATATATCCATAACAACACATTCCAAATGACAGCTCTGATCTTCTAGTTGTATCTTATATCTTGTTTGTTCTTCCTCCACAGCTGCAGAGCGATCTGGACCAGGAGTACCAGGACAAGTTCCGCAGGCTACCTGTGGAGATCCAAGAGTTTGTTCAGGACAGCAGCAAGGCCAAGCTTAGCGACGGCGACAGTGTCCATGGAAACCTTGTTGCGTCCTCAACGACAGAGAAGCTGAACCACAAGGCGTCGCAGTCAGAGGACGACACGGAGGAATGCTCGTCGGAACGAGTTTACGACACGCCCCTTTAGAGATTCAACCTCGGCGCTTTGCTTCACACTGGGACACTGATTGGTGGATGTGTTTGTGACCACAGATCTAGGATGAGACTTGTCCTAATTTTAACCAATGGGAGGATTAGATCAAATCTGAGCCTGAATTGGTGAGTAGAGGTCTTCTCTGCTGTAATGCAGTCTTGTCCGGAAAGAAGATGGTTTGTGTAAATAGTCCCTTTTTGTGTATTTATATGTCCCCTTTATGTTGTCGTCTCTTTCGGTACGGCCACAGGATGTGTAACAAAGCACTAACTATTTGCAGGAAATAACTTACTTGAACTATTGCACAGAGAGAGTAGTTTCTTTTTATTATTTTGTATTATCATGATATTGACAGTAGTGGTAGTTAGTGAGGTGTTGTGCCATGGTTCTGAATTGACTTACAGTACAGTGGAAATGTCATTTAAATAGAGTCACCTTGTACTGTACATAAAACCACTGCATAGTCAGCCTTTGAAGCTTCCATCTTTATACGATTTAGATTCACTCTTACTTATTTGCACTGAAGGCTCCCTACGTAACTTTGTAACTCCTTTTACTTTAACCCAGAGGCACTGGTGGCTTGCTGGTTCTCCATTTTGTTCTCACAGAACTTAGCCTATGTGTTGCTGCTATTTCGTTTTAAAACCCATCACTTGTTAAAATGTTCACTTATATAGCTTGTCTGATATTTGGCATGGCGATATAATGCAGTGTCATTCTTGTTTTTCTTTGGCTAGTTTTTTAACAAGTTTGTGAAGAGAAAGGAAGTGAAGAGAAAGTGTGTTGTACAGTATCTGCATGTCATTGAACAACTGTAAATGTTACAGTAGCTTCGTAGCAGAGATGTTTAATAAATGTAAATCTATTTTCTCGGAAAACATTTAAACTAAAACCTGCAAAATGGTGCACTGTGGCTTGATGCGTCACTGTGGCATGAGCTGGACTAAAATAAGTAACAACACACCCTTTTGTTAGATGGCTGAAGTCAACAGGTTGTGCATTGTATTCTTTAGCTTTGTCCTAAAACAGTCAAACCAGGATATTAAACCCGGAGAACAGGTAGCTGCTGTAGTTTTATAGAAGTGGCCCTCCTGGTTCCTGGTACTGGTTCTCTGTGTACCTACAGAGGAATGTGTGTGCAGTTCTCCCGCACAAAGAGCAGATGCCCGTGACCACAGGAAGTACGCTGCCCACAGGCATTATGCTTAATGTTAACCCACAATTGGTAGCTCTAGTTAGAAGTGGGGAAATAGTCCAGTTACATGTGAACAAACTTCAAAACGCTCAGTTAATATCTGTGAAACACCAGTGTTTACTAATCCAACGAGTTACTGGACTATTTCCTCTTTATGTAACAAACTGTGCCCATTCAGTAACCATGAGGAAGTGTTTTGTACTGACTTCCTTACTGTCAAGTACCATTTAACTCACGGGTCATTTAATATCAGATCATATTTCAGCTGGAAAAAAAAAAAGTTGAATGTGAAGGATAACTTGACATGTAAGTACAAACTACTTTCTAAAAAGACGATATTGATGTGAGAGTCCTGTGCCTTTGAATAGGTTTGCCTTGTTTGATGTTGAATGTGTGAAATGCTACATTGTTTAAATTGCCATTGTATTATATGATATGATATTATATGGAGCTGTCTAATATTGAATAGACCGTGTGCACTTATGTGTACAGTACCACTACTGAGTAATGCTTGTGATGAGCAGTATTTGACATGTGTCTCATAAGAAACGCGAGACGTACTTCCTTCTAGTCTTGAACCACTTTATTTAACAGCCCCCCCCCCATCAGTGTATGCACTCTGGAAATGTAAATGTATGTATGACATTAAGGATCAATCATGAAGTTGATAAAAAAATATATAGTGTAAAGGGAATTTGCCTGTCATTAAAATAAATGTGGCTATTATTGTACTCTACTGGAGTTGTGTCTTTTGATTTGTCCTTGACCCCTAAATATTTTTCCCTAATGTGATATATGTTGTCACTGTCATTCATACATCATTGTATTGTCTTTATTTTCTTAGCTTTTCCATTACCTTGTTGTATTCAATTATCAAACAGTACCTCAGAAGGGCAATTATCTCATCCATTCAGTCCTTAAAGGGGCCCTATTAAGCTCACTTTCAGGATCATATTTGTATTGTGTGCCTCTACTTTGACATTGTCAGTAGATTTCCCCACCCCCTCCAGCCTATCAGGTGCAATGTGTTGGAGAACTAGCCAATAGAAGCACACGTGTTACACAGTGATGTCACTATGCTACAGTGACATCACAGGGGGGGTGGGGGGGACATGAATGTGTTATGCATCCTGTCCGTAAAAAGTCAAAGTCATTTAGAAAAAATCCACAAGAGCTTGAGCTATATTGGCCATTTTCAGGTTCACATGTTTTCATGTTTTAATGTTCAAAATGTCTTTATTTTTCTCATACTGCCTGTGCTCTTTCCACCCTCTGTCTGAAACCAGAGCCCAGTCTGCTCTGATTGGTTAGCTGGCCAGCTCTGTTGTGCGTGCGCACACACACACACACACACACACATACACACACACACACACACACACACACACACACACACACACACACACACACACGTCTGCTGCCATTAGTTTGCTTCGATCAATGGTTTTTAATGTGAATAGTCAACATGTTCTTGTTGTGTTCTTTTATCACATTGTATTTTCTTTGTAAAAGCATCATCTGTCCTCATAGCTTGCCTCTATGTGCCTTAGATTGTGTAAAATACGTATATGCATCTGCTGCTGGTGTGTGTTTGTATTTTCCAGACAACATAAACACTTTCTCAGTCTCTGCTCCCCAGCTGAATCCCAACAGGCAACAGGAGATAAGACAAGCCATGTCGCCCATAACAACCACTGTGACCACTCAGAGACCTCCGTGCATAACCGCAACTAGGAAGTGAGCTAATTAACCCGGAGTTCAAGGCGGAAGGAGAGCGACTTTTTAATAAGATTCTCCTGGTTATATAAACAAACTCCAAGGAATATTATCACCCCGCGTCTGTCCATCTGCTGCAGGGAAGAGGAGGAGGAGGAGCTGTGCTTTAATGAGGTACACCAGGACAGCAGAAGAGGAGAGGACCACAGGGTGCTGCCTGAAAGGTACATTAAGCAAACACATACACACACAGACAGACATGTACATGCACAAAGACATATTATCAGATTTGATGTAGTACTTCCTGAAAGGATCTTCACTGACTACTTTCATTAATTTCATTCCTTCTCCACTTTGCCCTAAATATTCGAATGTAAACCTAATCCTGTCCTAATCCTAAACCCGAGACATAACCCAGAAGTAATGCTAACATTAAACCTTACCTAATCTATTCTGGGTCAAATGTTGATTGTTATTACAGCATTATCATTAAACCATGTCAGAAAACCCTATATTGTAGATGGATGAGGAAAAGCAGTGTTCTTTCTTTCTATGACTATTGTCCCAATTGTTACTAGACAATTTAGTCTTAATGAGGACAAAAGAGGAAAGAGCTTGCACATTATTTGAGGGATTTTCTTTCGAATGTTTCAGCAGGTTAAGTCTACTTGTGTATTCTGTGGCGCAGGGATTGGGAAACAATGCATTAATCAAGCAGGAGTATAATTAACATCTATTAGTCATTGGGGTTTCCATTTAGCCTAAGAAAACGGTTGTATAATTTCTTTTATGGCTCCAGAGGTAGTTTATTTGTCAGAAAAATTAACCGAGGTCATCAGGGTTATTTTGGGTTGGCATAACAACTGCTTATTAACTAATTAGGAGTGTTGAGTTTCAAATATGCCACTTTATTCACATCCAATCTGCAGTTTTTAATATTTACTCTGTCCATCCTGACAGCAAAGCAAAAGTTATATTTAAATAAGAATGGGGCAAATAGGTCACAGAATATTTGTTTAAAAAAAACAACTTCAACCTTAGAGCCTAACTCGAGGCTGAATAGCTATATGTCATTGAAAGCCCTTCTGGAACATCACTACAATAAGTCTGATATTACACATAGACTGTATGATATTACACGACGTGATGCCATGGATAGAAATAGAATAATGTGCAATGAACTCAGTACTGTGCCTCAGAGTCAGACACAGAGTAGCGGCTAGCCTCTGTGTGAGAAACAGAGGAGCATTATGACTCTACAAAGGGAGGAGGGGGAAGCAGTGTTTGTCTTTTTATCAGCGCATGGCGGCTACAGTTGTCAGCTGTTAGAATAGCAAAAGCAGGGAGGAGCTGGCAGGGACTTGTTCTGCTGGATGACTCACTCTGTCAACCAGAGCTCACTCGTTTGCGCACATTCGCACACACATTAACGCGCTGACACGTTTGGCGGGGGGCGTGCTGCAGCAGTTGAAAAGGGGTTCCTAATCAAACCGCACCAGGGCCGTTCATTCTCCACTGGAGGGCGAGTGGTACAAGAACACCGGGACACTCCGGCGGCACGGACAGAGCTGACAGGCGAAGGGAGACGGGATAGAGCAGCAGCTGGAAGACACAGACAGGCAGCCACACACACAGAACATCCCGACCCGGACTGCAAATCATCTTTTCTTTCCACCGTCGGATTAAACCCGTCCCCAACACCGAATCACGTAAGAAACAAACAGTCAGTTGTCTCTCATAACGAAATATATAGAGTAACCGTACTGTTATACACTGGCCATACTGTTTAGGTGCTTGACGGATGCAGGACCTTTTTTTCATTTGAACTCCATCACGCTAGCTTTCATAGGCTCGCTGCAAGTCCTGCTCTCATCATTCAGACATCCTCTCCATGCTCGCTGTCTCTGTCACACACACAGCTGGAGACAGTAGCTTTTTTCGTTAGCTAGCTAGCCAGACGCATTAAATGGACCTTTTAGCAATTTGATATCGAATTTACTGTTGCTTTGCCCGGCACTGTGGTTTCTCTTGCAGATAAATACGATACAGCAGAGAGCCGGCGCGGCTTGGTAACTTTGTGACGGCAGGGTTATTGATGTTTCCGACGGCTGGGAGGCTAGCCAGTGCAGCTAGCTCTAGCGGGACACATCAGAAACAACCGGCCGATAACAGGCACACTGCACAGGGGCCATAAAAGTCAACGGTCTAACTGACACAGCCTGGCTTTTATGTCTTTATAAGTGTTTGTACACTTTGGCGTGCTGCACTGTAGTATTAGCATATTATTACCTGTCAAATAATCTCGATAAAATGTTAATTAAATCTGTTTAAGTGGTACATTCAAAGACTGCTATTCCCAGTCGTGTAGGCAGCCAAGTGAATCTGTGAGCTGCAGCTGCCATACTGTACATCCCAGACAGCAAGGTGTCAATGCTTCACTGTCAGAACCAGAAAGTCCTAGTTCTTACAGAAACCTCTATTTTGTGTCTATTTGAGCCTTTCTTCAATCATCAATCTTCAGCCAAGAAGTTATAACAATATTTTTTTTGTTGGTGTTAAGTCTACCAAAAAAAACAGTTTTCAGTGAATGCAGTCTATTTGCCTAAAGTAAATGAGTGAAAAATATGTTAGATTTTGCTGATTACACCAATGTTATTTCTTTGAAACTTCACATCCATTTTCTTTTCATTGGTGAAGAATTCTTTGGAACGTAGATGACAGGTTTCTATTTTCAAAACCTGTTTTATCACACACACCCAGAAGGTATTATTTGTTCAGGAATAAACTATGAGTAACTCGGTTAGCTTATTTGCAGAGCAAATAGCCCATGGTGTATGATTATGTTACAGGTTTTGTTTGTCTTGGCAGCTTTCAAAAGGAATTGATCAACTTGTGTTGCCTTAACACGCTTGTTCCACCTGTTCCCAAATACATTGAGAGACGTATTTGCAAAGGAACCCTATTTCCTTCCTGTAAAAGCAGCACAGGTGTTTTCCAGTTTATCTTAATGTTGTTTGGCCACCATATCTAATCTCAACAGGCTTTTTGTCAGGGACCGGCAGTGTGTTATTGTTTATACATGTAAAAATACAGAATCTTGTCCCACACCCCTGCCTCCAAAGTGTGTCCTCTGCTGCCCGTGAAAGATCACAACTATTATGCAAAGGAAAAACCAATTCTGCTCTGACTTATTGACATTGCTGTTTAAATGCTTCACTGGTGATTACCGAGGCAAACAGTGCCCTCCCACATACAGTAACAATCCCTTACCTCACCTGTGGTTTAAACCCGGACCCTGAAGCATTTTGATGAATAGCGCTGGCTTAAGAAGCTTAAAGGCTAACTGAGGTGTACACAGGTGTTTTTATTGTTTTCTTTTTTCAGGGCAGATGACATTGTAAATGCTGTATCTTCGGTGCTCTCAGTGTTCAGTGCCTTTGATGGAATAATAACGGGCTGCAGAACAGTCAGTGCTATCCTTCTGTATGTTTATTTGGTAATAAGAGGGCTACAATTATAAGGGCCTTAATTATAATCCCTGCTACTCGTCAAAAATGGCATACTATAATCATGATTATCAAGCTATTAGTTTAGATGATTTTAAGGGAAATAAATAACTGCTAGATTTTGCAAGCTACAGTATGACTGGCACGCTTTTGAGAGTTGTCATGGCTTTTTTTATATATATATATATATATATATATATATATACCTGTGTGAGGAAGCTAAATATTACCCTCAATCTTGCCGGTCCCAATATGTCAGTTGCATACTCTGTGGGCTTGTTTGCCATTTTGCTCTTAGCCTAATGAAATAACCTGTTCTTGTCAGGCCTCAAGTGAATAGCATGTACGTGTACTCTGTGTAATGCGGGCAGTGAGGATGAGATTGAATTTACTGTTCAGAATTGGATAAATTGAAAGAAAATTGCTGTATCTTGTCCAACGTCTCTGTGTATTTGGCAAGACATATCTTTTTTTTTTCTTTGAGTCACGTTTGGATTAAATGACACTGTTATGGAGAAGGAGGAAGGTACAACAACATCCTGTTTGGCACACACATGCAAGCCTAGCATTTATTACAGATTTAGGGTTTAAAAATGTGACTATAGATATAGCATTGACGAATCTTATCTTTTCGATCTTTGTGTCTCTTAGAGTTTAAGGTTTTTATTTGTGTTTATTACACAGTTGAGCATTAGCCAGCTTCGGATTAAACTATAAAAAGTTGTAGGTTTATTCTAGAGAGGGTATGTCTGCAATCCATCCCCTTACCTGCAATTTTACTGTACACCTCAACTGCTTGATTTTGTTCTGAGGGCTAGTTTGCTCTCTTGCTCGTTTCCTTATTTAAAAAACATTTAGCACTTTTTAATTCTTATAATTAGGAGGATTTGTTCTTGATTAGCTCGAGTGTCTCCAGTTTGGTAGCATGGTAGGCCTCCACCATGAATAGACATTTTTTTTTTTCAGAATTGCAAAATGAACTGGTGCAATATTCAAAGGAAGCACAATCATTGTTTGGCTAACTATGTGATAAATTACCATATTGATGCAGTATTGTAGAGCTGTAGAAATATCCAAGCCTACAAAAAGTATTCTACAGACTTCACTGAAGATATTTGTTTGTTTGGATCCTCTTAAAAAAAAATAGACCATGATCATATATAAATATATATATTTTATTGGTATTGAGAATAATAATAGGAACATTAACAATTCCTCCAATATCGTAAGTAGGGCTGAACGATTAATCAATTTTAAATCAAAATCGCGATTTTAAATTATGCAATTATTAAATCGCAAAACCTGCTTTTTTTCCCCGTGTGTGTCAGTCATCCACACCAATCAGAAGTGCTGTGCTCCACATGTGCCAGTCATTGTTAACCAATCAGACGTGGCCCATGATAGTAGGTGATAGACAGATTGATCCAATCACCTGCCAAGTATTTTTGAAATACTTTTCCAAATGTCTTCCAATGGAGCTTTCTTAGATGGTTTGGTGAATCAAACCATCTGAGTCAGGTTAGTGATGCTCCAACACATGTTTTACATCTATTACAGGGTGAATCTTAAACTGAAGCTTGACTTTAAAGCAACCCAACGGAAGTTTCATGTAAGTTTAGTTCTTTCACTCGTAGCTCGGGCTGCGGGGGTGCTAGAGACGGGAGCACGTTGATACGACCTTCCTAGCCGGAGATATGGCCGCATTCTACAATAAACTTCCGTTGGGTCGCTTAAAAACAAATATCGCAAATCGAATCGCAATATCCGTCAAAAAGAATCGCAATTAGATTAGTTCCCCAAATTGTGCAGCCATAATCGGAAAAAAATATATCATGCAGTTCTAGTAAGCATACTTTTATTTTTCTCGGGGGATTGGGTTTCGTGGCGTTTGCTCCGTTATGGAATTTAAAAAAAAAAAAAAAAAATTAAAATACTTTTTTAAAAAAATGGTTTTAATGGCATAATAAATCTATCCCTTTGTTTAGAGGAGGTTATCAGGGATCACAGAGCAGATTATTCTTTACATGTACAAAGCTCGACAGTCACTTGTGGATGTCTGAAGGCCTCACAGAGAGATATATTAATGTAGACGTCCAGACAGACACGGATTGACAGGCCTAGTGTTGCGAAGTATGTCAAAAACATGTTGAACCACAGCCCTGCCCATGTCTGTCCTATTGTTAAAGTCTGAAATCTAGGGCTGTTGTTAAGCTGTTAGTCGATATTGTGATTTACTTGATGTTTTCCTTGGCAGGGGAGCAGCGGGATGTGGTATGTGCTCGCCTCTCTGTGTGGTTCCTACTGTACAGCAGAGGTTCAGACCTCCAGCCAAATAAGTCCAGATTCAAGCCTCTGTGATTCATGAAATGTTCTCCCCTTCTTACTGTATGTCCTTTTTTGTCTCTGTAGGCCAAGACATGAGCTTCTCCCACTGAGCGTTATTGATGCTGAACTGGTGAGTTGTTGGGGTTAACTGCCTGTCACTCCAGCAAATAACAACACTTTTACATTTGTTATGGGTTACTTTTATTCAATCCCAGTTACTGTCTCATAGCACCGCTGGCTACCATCTGGTAGCGATTTGATAAAAAAATATGTTCCCAGAATTAAGTATAGAACAGGATACCTCTTCGATATGAGTTTTTTATTCCGCTGCATCCGGTTCATGATTGCATATTAATTACTTTAAGGTAATATATTGTATGCTGTACAAAACATATGGCTTCCGTCTGCCTGTAGCTCTACCTGATACATTATGTAATGATATCTCAGGGTGTAATCTGATGTGTTTCTGGATACACAAAATAACAAGGGGAAACCAAAAAACAACACATATCTAGGATTTCCCTTCCATCTTATATTTTTAGCTCTCCAGCTCTTATTTTGCCTCTCGTCGCTGAGGTCTCATCAGTGAATATAGGTTGCCTTTTCCTTCAAAGTGTTCAACACTGCAAACAAGTTGCATCGAGAGCTGGAAACGACTGACACTTTATTGGATTCGTACTGAATGATGAAAGCAAGAGGAGCAATTGTTCACCGTATCTTTCACACAAGACTGATGTGCAGCGTTCTCCGATCCACAGCCAGACATCACTCATTGATAAGCAGGCCTGCATAAGCATGGCGGCTGCTGCTGCCTAATGCCAAGCTACAAACTGTAATGGGACTGAGAGGTGATTGCTCTCGATAAAATGATGTGTATTAATAATGTAATGTGTAGCACATGTGTAGCTGTCTGTTGGCTGGGTCCAATTCATTTTCAAATGCTTTAAGCTTCACTTTTATAGGAAGAGAGAAGTTTACTCTCTCATTATCCCAAATTCTATTTGCTTCATTGCAAGTATGCCGTAAGTACTTTAATATATGACATACAACGATGAATAGAACATTCTTTAAAAATACTGTTGTAGGGAAGATATTGTTCTAAAAAACAGAAGATGGCTTGAATCCAACAAGTGACCAACTTTCCATTTTTAAACAGTAACATGACACTATTTCTATATCAGGGAGAACATCGATGGCAAAAATAAAGCACTTAAGAAGCTTTATAAGGGCCCTATTATGTAGTATCTAGTATTGTGCCTTTACTGTGTCATCTTTAGATGCCTTAATGTTCAAACAGCTCTTTATTTTTCTCATACTGCCTGTGGTGCAGCACCTCTTTTCCCCCTCTGTCTGAAACCAGAGCCCAGTCTGCTCTGATTGGTTAGCTGGCTGGCTCTGCTGTGCTTGGTCAACCACTTGGAGATGACCCGCCCCTTAGCCTATCACATACAATGTGTTGGAGAACTAGCCAATAGAAGAGTGGGTAATACATAGCGTCGTCACTGTGTTACAGAAGCAAACAAAGGAGTCGAATTGAAACGTTTCAGGTTGTGTGTGTATGTTGGAGAGAAACTCCCTCTGGAAGGAACATTGGGATTTAAGCCTTTGCAAATATATATATATATTAGGGATGCACGATAATTATCGGTCCGATATTAGGAATTATGACGTCATCCCGATAAACTCGATACCAGTATTAATAGCCCCGATAATATACAATATATTTTTTGGGTAAAAAAAAAGAAAAAAATACTGCGGTGTGGGTGGATTGGGATGAGCGGCGCTTGTTTTTCACTCTGCTCCTCCCGTTTTGCCAGTACTGTGGTATTAGTGGTTTAGGAAGAGGGGAGTTCTTCACAAATCCAGCGCTCCCTAACTCGTGAAGCCAGGACAGTAAACAAACATGTCGTCGGTGGTATGGGCGTTGGAGCTATGTGCAACTCAAGGCATATGCTCGAACCGGAGCTGCCTGGACGCTGCAATCATGTTGCGCACTATCCGTGCTGCTGAGTGTGCTGACTTTTCGTACAATGTCCCACTGTCTGGCTTCCTGCATAAAGTCAAGTGCTCGGCGCAGTTGTGGCGAAATGTCGCTCCTCTGTTTTCATTTAAACAGCTCCGTATATCCGTTAGCGCAGCTAGCTAGCACCAGATGCTAACAACAACAATGCACGTAAGGTCTCTCTCTCGCTCGCTCGGGCCACACATACACACACCCTCCCAGTCCTCCAGATGGCCAGTCGGTGCCTGCCGGTGAGCGTGGAAGTGTGGTCTGCCACAAGCGGGCGGCAGGAGCGGGGCTGTCAGCATCAGCTTGTAGATGGTATTTTAAACTCGATGCGCTCTGAAACTACGGGGCGGCCGAGGAAAAAAAATACACATGCGTTAAATGCGTTAAAATAATTAGTGGCGTAAACATTTTTTTATTATCGGTATCGGTCTTGAGAAGCAGGAAGTTATCGGTATCGGTATCGGTTTCAAAAAACCAATATCGTGCATCCCTAATATATATATATATATATATATATAAATAAACCTATATATAAAACAAAGCACTGTGTAGAGACAGATTTCACACATTGTCGTAAATACAGTATTCAACTGAGATTATCCTGCTGAAGAGCACGGTTATTTCCTTGCTACTTCCATAGATACATGGCCACATAGATAACTCAACAGCTCTTTAAGAAAAATCCAGTAGTATTTATGCCTATCATCAGTTCAATTCATTGTAGTCAATATCACAAGTTATTCCCCTAATATATTTTTAGTACAACGTCTTTCTCTTCTCTCCGTAATTTTATTTATTTGTGCTTATTTTTGTCTTTCACTGCCTTCTCTTAATTCCCACATGCCACAGGACACGTAGCTCACATCTGTTTGTAAATATCAGATATTTGTATATGCCTTTCCACATTAATAGGTCATTGGTCATGACGAGCCTTTGATCATCAGCTCTTCTCCCTTTGGGATTTGTAAAACATTATATAACTTGGCACAGTTTTGTAGTGGTTCTAGGCCCAGGACCAAGTACAAGAGGCAGTGTTGTTTTCCATGTGGTCCTAAGGTGGCTGCATGTTAGCAAATATATGACCAACGGAAACAGAGTTCCCCTCTTCGTAGTCAATGAGGGATAACATGGCTCGCAACAGACACGGTTCATGTTTCTGAGCCTTTTGGTCACGGTTCCGTTTATCCCGACATGCATAAATACTTAAGAACAGCAGGCTCATCCAGTTATAGATTCAATGGTACCACAAATGAATCACCTTAATCAGATTTTCAATCGATGAAAACATGTGCTATTAGTGGCAGCAGCAGTCATGCATGAACCCTGCCAGTAACAGCAACAGAGTCAACATACCGACATTATTCCCTGTTGCGACTGTTTGCATGGATCCAGCGCCCTGAAACACTGTCCTAACCTCAGCGGCAGTTTCAGACCTTGACATTCATTGAAAATATAGAAGTGACAGTCACTCGAGGCAGCATCCAGGCAGAGGAGGTGTCCCTTTCAAAGGAACTGCGTCTTTACATGTATTACAATGTTAGAGAATATTGAACCTTCGAAAATGGAAAAACCAGAGCACTTTCATGTTCATTTAAATGTGCGGAACAGCTTGTTTTAAAATATAAAAAGTCAGAGGAAGAAGGGAACGTTTTGAAACATTGTACCATTTTTGATTTGGGTTTTGGAACAATCCAAAGAAGAATATTCCAAACTTCAAAATGTCTCCCTACGCCTAGATAACTCCAGTGGGTCTGATCTAGGAGTAACTTAATGTTTTGTAGTCAAAAAATACATTAATTGTTATGCATTCTACTTGAAACCCTTAATCATCTTAAACCCTCTCATTATCGGCTTCAAATCAAACACAGCTGATCCTAACCTGACCTCAACCCTAACCGCTCCAGATGATGTAATATTAATTTGACTGTTTGCTGCTTAAAGAAAGAGAGAGATCAGAGATGAGAGTGTCTTCACAGCAAGGGTAAGTGTGGCTGTAGGGGAACTATAATGACGGGATATTCTCTGCAGACTCTGAGCCAGCAGAGAGATGGAGAGCAAAAAGCAAAGCAGACAGAACGAGAGGGAGCCGCTTACTTTCACACCAACAGATGGTATCCGCCATCACCAAGTCAATATTTACAGTTTTCTAACAAAGAATTGGCAGCATTAGTTGGGGTGATTCAGTAGCAGGCAGCAGGAGAGATTCCTGGTTTGTGTGAAAGACTCTTGGAAGAGTAAAAGCAACACTTCAGTGGTACTAATTGTTGCTCTGTTGCACGTGTGGCTCTCAAAGTACATCGCAGAGAGCTTTCAGCCACCCCTACACTCTTGGATTCTTCTCCTTCTCCTTTTTTAAATGCACACACGCTCGCAGTGTGCACACTCGCTTTACCCATGGCTCAATCCACTGTGGGGATACAAGTGAACGCAATTTGCACTTCCAATTAAACTGTCGACCTCTGCTCCAGAATGCAAAACTTGATTTTGTAACATCCTCTCCTGGATAGCTATTATTACCCAGTCAGCCCAGTAATGGATGGAATAAGGGCTACGCGATACACTGAAGATCATTGAAGTCAGCAAAAATATTTAGTATATTTATTACACTGGAAGTATTTATTTAGAGAAACTAAGAAACCTTCAGAGACACTTAACTATTCATTACTTTTTGTGTCTTCTAATTATTGAGTTATTTGACTGTATGACCTAAAGAGAACACATTTTAAACCTATTATAAATATATATAGCAGGTGGTAGGTTTGGCTACAAAAAGAGTTAAAATAATCGGAAAATCAATGCTGTTTTAAGCCATACTTATAAAACCAATAAGCTACAAATGTGTCAAAATCGAAAATATAGCAACTGCCACTTGTATTTGTTAAAATGGGTTCAGCTTATTCACATTAAGATAGAGCAGCATGAGAACAAATCATAGCATAATACATTAGGCTAGTGTTAGCCTAAAGCATGCTGCTGTGCCTCTAACACATGACTCACTGACCAGATCAGATGACTAGATAAACAACAGGAATTTGACTTATCTTGTTTTCTTACAGCGCTGCGCTTATCTATTCCAGAGAAAGATGATGCGTGTGTGTTGTATGTGCAATAAGACCATA